CTGGGCCAGCTGACGCGCACGCCTGTTCAAATCATCCTCAAGAGCCTTAATAGCATTCGCATTTCCGTGCGGATCTTCTTTCCTAAGACGCAGACGTTGTACCTCCTTCGTACAGAACTCTTCGTCTGTGTCCAGCGGCAGCTCCGCGATCGGAACACCCTCTGGTTGCGGGTCAAGGAACAGTTCACGCTCGGCGTCCTTGAGTTCCCTCGCAAGTTCGAATGTACGGTCATAAAGTTCGTCCTCTAGTGCTGATATGGCCTTCATATCCTTCCGTGGTTTCGCATTCAGTGCTCGAAGCTCTCGCTCCTTTTCTTTGAACTCTTCATTTTCGTTCAGCGGGAGCAATTCTAATGGGACGCCCTCTGGCTCTGGATCAAGGTAGGTCCGCTCCTTCGCGTGCATTTCTCTCGCCAACTCGTGTGCACGCTCATTCATTCTCTCCTCGAGGGCATTAATCTTGCTCGCATTGGCAACAGGGTTCCGCAAAAGTGCCATGCGCTCTTTTGCCATTTCTGCGAATGCAGCATCTGCCATGAGAGGAATATCCGCAATAGGAATGCCCTCCGGTTCCGGGTCAAGGAATGAAAACTCCGTTAGATTAATGCCCATCTCTGATGGAACATTAATTTCCCTGGATATGCGGGACGCCGCGCGTGTCGATGCTCCGTGGAGCGTTTCTTCCGTGTCCGTTGGTGACCTGAGGAAATTATCGTTTTCCGCTGCGAATTCGTCCTCCATGTCTATGAATTCCGCAGCGTCAATCGGCGGTTCAGTGGTACGAACGTGTGCCTTCTCCAGAGCCACCACCTCTATTCTCGCGGGAACCTCGCCATTGGCACGCGGGCATGTGATGGAGAGTGCGTAATGCCCAGGGTTGTTCAAGTGGCAGACAATTCCAGTTTCTCGGAAATTAGTCGCGCCCGCAACGCCGGCCAGACGATTGTTCTCACTGTCATACAAATACATACCGAGATAGTCTTCGGTCATGGCATCTGAACAGTTAGGGGCACGATACGGTTTTTCCTGCCGAAGGAGAATGTGAACATCAGTAGGAGTATCCACCAGGAAGTCTATGCGTTCCCTATGACGAGCTTCCAATATGACATGAGCGATAGCTGGTAGGTGTCGTGCGACATCCACGTTTAGCCGGGTAATACTCAGGACATTTTCGTCGCCCGGATTCGTGTTCCAGTACGACAAAAGGAACCTCCCTTGCTCGTGGAACATAGCACTTGGCACCAGGTACCCAAAGAAGTTGGGGGGGATCACAATGGTATTTGACAACTCGCGGGTGCCCAAAAACAGGCCTTTGTAAATCATGCGATGGTTGTTGGCAGTCACCAAATAGGTCGGAATCAGAGTCTCATCAACGTTTTGAGACACTACTAATCCGCACTGAATATAGTTCAGTTCGTGCTCATGCAGTTGATGGAGTATGTGACGCTGATCCGGTTGGCAAATCATTGCAGTGAGGTGCAATGACTCGTCTGAAGTGTTCCTCACCACATACAGTGGGTTCTCACGCCACGTCACGAGGGTCGGATTGCCACCATTGGTACCATTTCCCCATTCGCTGTTGAAGTGCCAACTGGGGAGTGTCAAGCCACGAATGCAAGCCTTCTCGATACAAGCAAATGCATCACAAAAGGCATCCACAGGCATGTAGATCACATTTTGCCGCTCCGGTTCCAAAACAGAGCGTAACTCCGTGGACCAACGCTTGTCTTCTTTGTTCATGGGGCCCGTGTAGACGGCCTCCACAAACGGGTTATGCAGCTTAACAATCAACTCTGAAAGGGAGGGACTTGACTTGTTGCTAGTTGGCAAAACCTCCAGTACACCGTATGCCTGATTCTCTAGCAGACCAATATGATCGCCAAGCCCTGGACGCGTCACAGCGGCGTACGCAGAGTTTTCCAGATTGGAATTAAGCTTCAACCAAAACTCCGGTTCATCAATGTCATACATAGCAGCCTTCGCGAGTTTCAAATCAGTTGGGATGCTCACCACTGGACGACCAGTGAAGTCATGGTACAACTCCTGCAATGTACACCCTTCGATGTTCTGGTACAATGTGTAGAACTTAGCGTAGGCCTTTTCTAGCAGAAGGGGCCACCAGTGACGCGTGGGCGAGCGGCAGAACAAGGTCTGACCCTCCGTCAGCGGGATGCGGTCATCGATCTCCACCTTTACCCACTGACCGTAACGATGAAATTGAAAGGTGTAGCGGCCGTCCTTCCGCACATTCTTCGACACAAACACGTTGTGAATCACATCGGGGTGATGATCCACAAGCGTTGCAAAGGCTGTGAGGCAGCAGCACTCAAAGTGCTCACCCTGCTCGAACTGATCCCGGCTAAGCACGTCAGGGAGGAGTGGCTGCGTCTTGCCCTCAGGGTACAGATCGCCAATGTGAATCCAGGGGTCGTTTGTGATGGACTTGTTGTCAACCAAAAATCGCTTGTCCTCGAACGGCGTCGTGCTGTCAGGCACCTCTGTTATCTTGTGCACAGGAATATTGATGGGCGTGTAGTCAATGGGGTTTGTCGGGAGAGTGGTATCCTCTCCCTCGTCGATAATGTCCTCATCGTCGAACATGGCCGCATCCTCTGGTGCATCGACGATACGAACGTTGGCGGGGGACGCGCCAACGATGGTAATGGTGGCGGGGACCTTTCCCTTTGCTCGAGGGCACGTGACAGAAATAGCGTAGCGTCCACTTCGGGGGAGGTGCTGGAGTACGCTAACCTCACGGAAATTCGTTGCGGCATGCACACCGCCGATCTTACGGTCCGTATCATCGTACAAGTACATGCCCATGTAGTCCTCTGTCATAGCGTCACCGCCTGTCTTGCTCACATACGGTTTCTCCTGGTGCATCAATATATGAATGTCAGTCTCGTGGTCCACGTAGAAGTCCACACGATCCTTCTCCTTAAACTCCAGCGTCACATCCTGTTGGGCAGGATGGGCCCAGTCCATCTCCGGCACACCCAGCTTCTTGATCGTGATGTTACTGTAGTCCTCCCCGACCATACGATATAGGGCAAGCGTGAACTTTGATTCGGCTCCTTTAACCATACACGAAGGAACGAGATAGCAAAGCGAATTAGGGGGCACTGTGATGGCGTTTGCCACTTCACGAGAGTTGAGGAAAAGGCTCTTGTGAATGGGCTTGTGGTTGTTCCCGGTGATAAAAAACGTTGGGATCCCATTGGGGTACGTACTCTGCACCATGACCATACCGCACTGAAGGTACTTGGACTGCTCATCAGGGGAAGTGAATCGCCGTTGATCCTCTTGTTTGATGATGGCAACAAGATTAGCCGCAGTCGTACCAGTGTTCCTAACGTAATACAGGGGATTCTTGCGCCAGGTCACGCTGGTAGGGTTTCCGCCAGCTGTCTCGCCCTTCCACTCATCGTCAAAGTACGTGGCATCACCTTCCACTGGGGAAATGTAGCAGAGCTGCATGGAGTTGATGATCTTCAGAAAGTTGCTTAGGGGAAGGAATATGGAACGTTCATCTTCTACGTTGTAGCGCACTCGCAGCTTTGGGGTCCACTGCGAGTCCTTGCTGTTCAAGGGACCTCTGTAGATGAATTCCTCATCCTCGAAGGGATTGTGCAAGTGAACGACAACGTCGTTCACGGACGATGTCCCAGTCAGCGAAAATATCTCGAGAACGCCGTACTGTTGCTCTCGCTGCAAGCCCATGTTCTCCAGCTCCATGTCCTTCGTCAAGACAGAGGCGACAAACTGACCGGATTGAATCTTCTGCGCCAAGTCGAGCCAGTAATGGCCCTCCGTCACCTCAGCACCGGCGGCCTTGGCAAGCTTCGCGTCCATGGGGATGTTGAGCACGGGATTGCCAGTCAGGTCATAGTAGGCCTCCTGCAGAGTGCAGCCCTCAATGTTATCATAGCCAGTGTAGAACTTCGCGTAGGCCTTCTCCAGCAGCAAGGGCCACCAGTGCTCCGTGGGGGAACGGGTGTACAGCACTTCACCCTCGTCCAGTGGGATGTAGTCGTCGATTTCTACCATCACCCACTCTTTACCGCGAAAGAACTGGAAGGTGTAGCGGCCGTCACGGCGGACGTTCTTCGTGATGAAGCAGTTCTGGATTACGGCGGGGAACCGCACCAGAGTAGACAGTGCCGTGAGCATGAAGCATTCGTAGTGGTTGCCTTGTCCAAACTGCTCGCGCGAGAAGCTTGCTGGCAGGAGAGGCTGGTTCAGACCTTGTGGGTACAGTTCACCGATACGGATCCAATGGTCCGAGATGTGCTTGTTCTTTTCCATGAATACGGTGTCATGGAATACATTGCCGCTGTCGGGGATTTCCTGAAAGGCTTGGTAACTCATTTTCTTGCAAGGGATACTATCTCTCAAGTAAGATTCAGCGTGGATGTGTAATTTCCTTTGCTTTCGAGTTTTTGATATACACCAAAGGTAGGAGAACCAGAAGAGAAGGAGCAGTCAAGAATGTCGATGATTTCCACGTCGAGTGAATCTGTTTTGGTATTTGCCCAATAGGATGGAAAGAGTGAGGGGCCAAAGCCAATGGTTACAGAGTAACAATTCATCATCTGCACGAACGCACCGTTCGTTAATTGTGAGCGTCTGACGAGGATGACGACCGCGCGGAGCTACCGTTAAGTTGTATGATGGGCATATCCCCCACTGGCACTGACCCTGCGTCTTCCCTGCTTGTTCCGTGCCGGCGCTGCGGCGATGTGTCTGCCGTTTCTGGTTCACCCTGCTCGCCGTTCGGTGTCGCGGAGCGTTCTCGTTTTCTGTTCGGCGAAGTGACGTTGACCAACGGAGGAGAAATGGCGGGTTGGCATGGTTGAGATTGGAGCTGAATTGGCACCAGGTAAACTCGATCGTCGTTGCGTAGGAGGGAGAAACCACCGTCGTCCCACTTGACGAAGTGCTGTACGAGTGGGGCCGAAGCACCCCGTTGTGAGACGGACGTGTGGTGGATGGCGGTGGATAACTTCACCTCGTTCGGCTCAAGGTGAGCCACAACGCCGGCGCTTAGCGAAGGACCGTTTCGAATACGGACACTGCGTTCCTCCCGCACAGAAGTGTAATACGTGGGTTCATGGAGTTGCTCGATGTAGTCTTGCTCAAGCTTCAGAGGTTGTGTTGTGTCCGTCACCTCTTTTAGCAACAACAGACCGTTGCTTGTTGCGATCTTCGACCACCCCCACACCCATGTGTTGGGCGCGACGCTATGCAGCGAGCACGTCTCCGCCACTACCGCAGCGTCCGGCGTTCCTGACAGCAACAGAAGGGCGTACTGCTCCATTGTGTACGGATCCACCTCGTGTCCAATGGCCTCGACAAGCCTTCCAAAAGGTACTTCACCCACAATGTCTGCAAAACGATGCGGGAACACGCGCACACGGACACGCTTTGTTTCACTGGACGGCGTGAATACTCTGTAATATGGCACCAGCTCTCGCCGAAGACCTACGGTCCCATCTCGCCACAGCGTATAAGTTCCACACGTGGAGACAGCGGTGGCCTCTGCGACGTCGCCGGGCAGCATCCGCCTCTTATGCTTGCCGTGCCCCCGCCAGTGCGCCTTGCGGGACTGTGAGACTACGGTGGCTGCACGGATGTGCTCTTGCAACTCGAACCAGCGGAAGCAAAGCAGTGGCCGCCACATCGACTGCTGCGAGGGCCAGTCCGTCTCCACGCCGAGGAGTGTGACGGTGATGCTCTTGTGCCGCAACGCCGTCGCGAAGCTCGATGAATTCGCGGAGACCTCCACTGATACATCGCCGTTCGAGTCGGTTAGCGCACGTGTCGGGGAGTCTGCTGCTGCCTCTTGCAGAGCCATCGGCGCTTCCGACGACTTTGTGATACATACGGAGACTAGAGTACCTTCCAAAATGTTCCACGCGAGAGAAGATGCTGTTGATGACCCCGCCGCGTTCAGGCACAACGATGCCACAACATACGGCGTTTGGTCGCATAGCACACCGTCCGCTGCTGCCGTGCTAGTTATGCACTTCGCCCACAACAGGCACTGGGTGCCCTCCTCCAGCGCTGCACCATCCCCAGGAGGTGTCTCTGTCGTTTCTGGGGCGAGCTGCACGTGAATAGAGCCAACGGTTATGGTCTGCTCCACCTGGAAACGGAAGGATGGGGAGTGCGCAACGTGGAGCCAACAGCGACTGCGCCGTTGTTCGTCCATCTCCTTTACAACACGGGAAAAATACCAAAAGCACAGCAAAATTGGCAGGAGGTAGGACCGTTAAGACAATGAGACATCATAAAACCAAAAACAAAAAATCAACAACAATGAAATGTTTTCAAAAAAGTAACATGCGAATCTTTTGAGGTCACACAGGGAGTAGGGTATGGGAAGAGGAAAATGACGGCCAACTATGTGCGGCGACACTGCCCGGCCTCCTTTCCACGTAACTCTTCACGGGACGGAGAGAGGGAAAGGCAACAACGTGTCACGAAGGCAATGTATTCTAGTTGCCGCCTCTGCCGCAGACCTCCTCCTCTTTCTTCGTCCTCTCCCCCCTAAGAGAAAACCAAAACAATCAATCTCATACATCTCCCTTAACGTCTTATTGCTTCTTCTTCTTTTATTTTTGTTTATATTTGGAACATAATGGTGTAAGTCCGTGTCTCTAAGTGTCCCTCTTCCCCGCACATCACCCCAAACAAAACCAACACGCTCTCTCCTCTGCCTTCCAAAAACAACAGGCACACACATGCGGAAAAAAAGGGCCAGCATTGCACCTTCTCACCACCATCTGTTCCACTACACGACAGAACAGATCCCCTCTTGATTATGTCCTCTTTCCTTGACTCCACGTTGCGATTGCCTTCAGTTTCATTATTCTCTAGGCCGATACCCGCGCATTCTGAACCTTCCCATCGAGACCGACGCGCGACACGACAGGCGCGACGGTCCATTTTCCCCCATGCAGGACCCGCAGCATATGCGTGTGGTGCGCGATCACGTCCTCACGATGTGTTACAGAAAGCATGCGGACGTCCAGTCGGCGCAGGTTGAGCAGCACCTCTTGCTCTGTCTCGTCCATCATGGAGGTGGCCTCGTCCATGATGGCCACCGGCGTCTCCTTGCTTCGGTCTGCCGTCAGCACATGGTAGAATACGCGTGCCATGCTGATGCGCTGCTTCTGGCCGCCGCTGAGGGAGCTCCAGTCGTAGCACTCATCTGTGTTCTGTGGGTCGGTGCCGACGTACGCGCTTTCGAAGCCTCCGAGCACGTCAATCACTGACTGTGCCCCAGCGAGCTGTAGTGCCTGCTTGAAACAGCTGAGCTCCTTCTCCCCAACCGTGGTGATGAGCTTCGGGAAGAGCACCTGCTCCAGCAGCGTGCACTGCGGCACCATATAGCTGTGCTGCGGCGCGAAAAGCAGCTTGACGCGCTGCTCCATTGAGTAACTCCCCTCGGTCGGCGGCCACAACCCGGAGATCATGCGTAGCAGCGAGGTCTTGCCGCAGCCATTCTCGCCTAGAATTACCCAGTCCTGGTCGCTTTCCATGCGGAGGCTGAGATCGCTGAAGAGCACCTGCCCCGACGGTGTCATAAGTTTCAGGTCAGAAAAACCAAATAACAAGAAGCGCTGTGCCGCCTCTGGGCGCGTGAAAAATCTGGTATGCGTGTAGCTAATTGGGCTCGCAATCGGGGCTTCGGTGTTCGGCGTCGAGACCATGGAGTGAATTAAGGTGCCCTGTGCAATGCTCGCGAGCGTCGTGTCAAACTCCGCCAGCTTTGTCGTGAAGGTCGATAGGTGTGACAACTCGCGCAAGTTTACGACAAAGTCCCTCACACTTTCATTAACGTCCTGCATGTACTGCACCTCCACGTACAAGTCACTCAGGGACTTATCCCCGGTCCGCAGCGAGCCACCAAACACAACGAGGCCCGAGATCATCTGCAAGAGGCCGGAGAAAGCGACCTCGAGCAGATTGAAGTGCGCCCTCGCGAGGGCGACATGGTTCAGCGCCTGTTGCAGTCGTCCGACCTGCGTGTCGAGCTTCTGCCGCGTATAACTGCCGCCGCTGTGCATGGCGATACTCTCCACATTATTCAGGTTGTTTGTCAGCATCCGGCGGTAGTTGTCCTCCTTCGAAAGAAGAGACGCGTGAATGCGGCCAAAGGCGGGGGCGAGCCGCTGTAGCAAATAAACGGAAACTGCCACAGCGCCGCACGCCGTTGCTGCTGCCCTCCCGCCAACGTGCTGCGTCAGCGCCACCAACGACGTTGAGCACTCGAACGCAGGCATCAGGAAATAGTACGGCAGCTCCGCCAAGTGCTCAGCGAACTCTCCGCAGTACGTTGAGATGACCGTGTCGGCCGCCTCCAGACGCTTGTCCAGCACTGTAGCCTGGTAATAAATCAGGTGGCTGAAGAAGCGGCGCTGGAACTGCTTGCTAAGCCGCGCCCGGTAGCAGGCAATGAGCCACGGCCGCAGATACTCCACCGAGCCGCTGCACACCGCTGTCATCAACGACACCGCACACCGCAGGAGGAGCGCGCGGGTGAAGTTCTGTATGCGCTGCTCCCCCGTCCCCTCAATCATGGACTTCATCAGACGGCCATACGCACTTGACTGCGCCACACGCAGAATAGACTTCACGACGAACAGCAGAATAAAAGCGGCGGTTCCAAGAAACTCTTTGCACCAGACTGTGGGCAATGCCATTTTCGTCATCCGCACAAACTCCCGCATGAACGAAAGTGTTACACCTGTGTCATCCTCTGTGCGGATGTTGGCGATTTCGGCATCGTACCGGCGTAGCCTCACTCGCTGGGCCAATACATACAGTGCGAAAGAGAGTGCACTGCCCGCAACAATTCCACGGTCACGCAGAGTCCGTAGAGCCTCACCCCCTGACATAACGTTAGACTTTTGAGACTTTTGAGTTTCCCTTCCTGTATATATATATATATATATATATATATATATATCACCGACTCCCGAGATGTAACCAACCTTTTCACAGCAGGAATTGGATGTGACCTCGAAAGGCAAGCGGAAGCGTGGCCACCTATCGTCACTGGTTCCCACCATAGTGTAAAAGACACGGAGCAAAATGAAATTGAGACGCGTGCAAAAACTGGCAGATATATATAACCACACCCGGCTTGTGAGCTCCCTCTATCCCCTGTGAAGGAGAGAGCTGGAGCAATACACCCGGGAATTACAGAGGAGGAGGGATCGACGAAAGAGGATGAATACAGATGGTGAGAAACGTACAGGAGACAAACCCAACAAGACATATTCCGTATGCAACAATATCCTCCTCACGACATTTTTCCGTAACATCAGCCCCTACCAGAGGTTGTGCAGGTTCGCCTCTTCAGAGCTGTGGACTGGCAATACCGGCATTGCCCAATAATCCTGGGGCAAGTCAGCCAATGACGTCATATCGCCACTCTTTGCTAGTAGAGGAAGAAGCGGTGGCACCGCGAACGGGGAAAGACTGTTGCTCTGACTGCACCTATGCGCTGTGCCACCGCCACTGCCAATACTTCCATTCAAAGAAGGCACTGAGACGACGCTTGATGCATGAGTTGCGACCAGCGGCAGCTGGTCTTGCTGCTGCTGCTGATGTTGTTGTGACGGATACGTTTTTTGTGTACTGACAAGGCTTTCCTTCTTTGGAGTTTTCTTTGTGGCCACCGTCGTTCGGCCTGTGTAGGAGTTCCTCGCGGCGCAGCTGCTGCTGCCTCCTCCTCCTCCTCCTCCACTGGTGGTGGTAGTGATCGTAGTATTCATTGTCCCGCCGAAGGTGGAGTCGCCGCGCTTCTTCGAAACGGAGCGCGAGGCGGCGCGTTTCTTTGTGCCCGCGTCACCTATGGCACACGGCGACCGCCCACAGCGCAGCTCCTCCAAACGTCGTTTGTTTTCCTCGCGTGCCGTCGTTTCCTCAATCTCGTTAAGGTCTTTTAGAGACGTCGGCTGCAACTGGCGCGCCGATCCCAGGGCGTACGAGGCGGCGTATCTGTCGTACTGTTCAGACATCGTGGTGAGCAGAGCGGCATAACAGGCGAGGAGCAGCTCCACGTCCGCAACACTGCCGACGCCGTCCCTGCTGCACGCCTCAGCTGTGCAGTCGCCGGGCTCTCCAGCCTCCACTTCGCCACCGGACTGTGGCGACGCGGAGCTGGACGGCGAGCCCATCTTGCCCAGCTTCACCGAGATGTAGCGCCAGCACGGCACCTTCCGCGAGTGCGCCTCGTGGCTGACACAGAGGCCCAACTTGAAGTCCACCAGCTCGTGTCCAATGGCCTCGTACTGCTTCTTGTACTCCATGATGAGGTCGAACAGTCGTCTGTACGTCACCGGCTTGTCCATCAGGGTTGCTTTGCGACTGAGGCCGAGAGCACCGTACAGTGAGTCACACCGAATGACAAGGACGATGTGATGGTACGAGTGTCCCTTCACACGCGACTTGAAGGAGACCGGAATGCGGTCGACGTTCTTCATTGCCTGTGTAAGATACAGCCCAACAAAGGTAGCCTCAAGGCAGCGGATTGGCAGCGCTTCCGCAAGGATTTCCTTAGAGGTCATCATTATGCTCTGCAGCGACCGGTGCTTCTCCAGGCAGAAGAACGTCTGCGGGAGGAAATTGTATGAAAGCACGTTGAGCACATTCTGCACGTACGGCAGCTGCTGCAGCGACGGCAAGTTCCGCGGGATGGAGGACTCGTCGGGGCGAGGGGCGTCGGGCAGGTCTTTGGCGTTCGTGTGTGGATTGATAGTGGCGAGCTGCTCGACTACCACCCGCACCTTGTCGCACGACGTCATGGGGGCGAAAAGAGAAAAAGGGAGGAAGGCCTTCCCGCCGCGCCACGGCCAGCCTCTACGTCATGGTTACATACAAATATGTGAGGAAACACACACACAAAAAAAGGAATAGAATAGTACGAAGAAAATAGATGCAAGGCAAGACCCACTCCACCTGGTGGTGCCTCCCCCGGGGACACACAGAGAATAGCACACAGACACGCAGGAGCGTTGTACTCAGTGAAGAGAAGGTCTCCTCATCCTCCTCCGCATTTTTTCTTCACCCCCCTACTCCTCTTTACACGTTTGAAGCTTCTTAACAAGACGCGCAGTTGACTACACGTACCACTCAAGTTTGTCCGCGTCGTGCTCCTTCTTGCGGAACCACTCGTACTCACCAAACTGCGTGTCAAATGTACCCGATTGCAGCGACAGAAGCCGCAGAGTGAAGCGGGGGCCCATCTCCTGAATACGCACCGCGTCGAGGCTGTCAAAGATGTACCGATGTGTGCGCAGGAATATGTAATCGCGCTGATTGTGAAACGTCGCCACCGCACGCCCCGCGTAGTCACGCGTCGCCGGGAAGAGACACTCCAGCATGCGGTTGATGCGGCGCCCCAGCCGCGTGTCGAAGTTCTTGAAGATGAGCTCCGGGTAGTGCTCCGTCCGCGGCGCGGGGTCTGACAGCTGCGCGTGCGTCAGGAAGTTCGACACGCGGAACGTCGCCGTCGGGCCCTGCGGCAGGTGCGACACGATGAGGTTGTACGGCTCCTTCAGCCGCTCCGTCACCACCACGAGGTCGGTGAAGTCGCGGTTGATGCAGAACTGCGTGATCTCCTTCAGCGTGTAGTCCTTCCGAGGGCGGTAGACGGAGTTGGGAAAGAGCCACAACGCCTCCTTCACGAACTGCTTCGTGCGGAAGCTCGGCCGCTCGCCCGTCGTGATGAGGATCGCCGGTTTCTTCCCCTCCTTGAAGTACGCGGCGAACTCGTCGTCGGCCTCGTCGCGCACAATCTCCGCGTCATTCTTGTCCTCCACAATCGTCACGTCAGGTCGGCGCAGCCGCTCCTTCGTCTTCGGGATCTCCTTCGCCGGCGCGCGGTCCTTCAGCAGCTTGCGCTCCTTCTCGCGCGCCTCACGGCGGACCCGCTTCGAGTCTTTCGTCTGCTCCCGCAGCTTCTCGAAGAGTTGGCTCTTCTTGATGGGCTGCCGTGTGCTGCGGTACTGCTCGACGAGGGCGGGGTCAACCTCCGGCGCCCGGTGCCGCGGCATGTGCTGCCGCTTCGCTGCCGGGCGGACGCTCCGCTTTGAGCGCGCGCCCTTCCCCATTGCGCTATGCAGTGGGCCTTCCGCTACACCTCCGTGGTGGCTGCGAGCAGCGCGACAATGCAGCAATAAAGGAAAAAAAAAGGTAGTAGTAAGAGTAGTAAGAACCAGCAACAACAGCAGTAGAAGCAGCAGCAGAGAGCCGCCCACACATGCAACGTGAACGGCATGACAACAATAGCAAACAGACCACACGGGAAAGACGGCACGGCGTCCCAGGATGAAAATGCACGAAGCGCGCGCGGCGGCTACACGCACCTCTCCCTAAGCCTCGCAGTAGCAACAGCGTACCAACAGTCACGGTGAAAGCCTTCCTGTTAGAAAAAGAAGCAACCTGCAATAAGGGCAAGAGGGCCATATTGCTGTCTCACTCCTTCAAGTAGTACTTCCTCCCGCGGTATTCGGTGTTCCTCTTCAGGGAGTCCTTCAGCACAGCCTCAAAGTTCGGCAGGTCTCGGAACCGCGTCATGTTTGCATGCGTGCTCAGCGCAGCCTTCGCCATCGGCTCCTGTGAAAGCGTCTTGAAGACCGCCTCGTCAACACCACGGCGCAACTGCTCACCCGTCAAGGTTGAAGAAAAGGGAATCGTCGTTGCGTTCCGCTGCTGTTGCTGCAGCGACCGTTGTGGCGGCGCCGCGTGCGTAGCTCCTTCACGTGAGACAAGCAGATCAGACAGAGCAGCGCGTGCCTCACTGTTCTCCGGGAAGGCTCCCACCACGCGATGGCCGTGAATCACGGCGAATGGATTGTGCCGCACCACCACACGCGTCATATGCACCGACGGGGTGAGCGACACGGTCTCCATGCACTCGTGTGCGGATGCGAGGGGGCTCAGGAAGCGCGAGCCCAACACATCTTCCACAGTCTCGCCCTCCACTGCCCACAGGACAAGTCCCGCTGCAACATTCGTGTCATAGCTGTGACCCGTCGCGCGCTCGAAGGCGGACCTTAGCGCTGTTTCGTCGTCCACAGCGGCACCCTGTTGCTCGGCGTTCCCCATCACATACGCCTCGTTGCGCTGCAGCAGCGTGAGGTAGATGCCAACGCGCAGTCGGACGCGCCGCCCTTCCTCTGCTGCGTCGTTGACCTCCTTTGCCAAGTGCACCACCGTCATGCCGAACTGCTGCAGGCAATCAGGGACGCCGCAGAAGAGACCCAGTAGATGCGCCTCTGTCCGGCGACGGTGTGCTCCCACCAGAGCGGCCCAGCTGCTCTCCACGCCTGCAGCAGAGAGGCCCGGCTGCAATACCCGCACGCACTCCTCCCGCACACGCCCTGTCAGCGGGAGACGTGTGACTTCATCTGCCGTGAAGACCGGCGCGTGGAGGTCGAGCCCCCAAACCGAGTTACCGAGACGCCGTTGGTCGTCTGCGTCTAGCGGGCTCAGCGTGTCGCCAACGACGCAACCGTCACCTGGCGTCCCTTCAAAGGCAAGCAGTGGCCCCGCAAGTGTCTCCTCTTTCAGCGGGTGCAGACCGGGGTACAACATTTCCTGCCCGATGATATTCACCGCCTTCTTGAGCGTGTTCGCACCGACAAAGTCGGGCACCACGTCTGTCTCTTTTGCCGACCGCACGAGGTCCACCATGCCCGACAGCTCGGCGAACGACGGCCACGTCAACCAGTCCGGGGTGTACAAGTAGCGCCGCAGCCTCTCATCGCCCCACAGCGTCGCGCGAGCCCAGCGCAGGTCCTCGAGGGCACGCTCGTGCACGGCCGCCGTCTCCACGCGCCGGCGCACGACCTCCTCGCGTTCCCCCTCGTCGAAAAGGTGCAGGAAGAGTCGCTTCTGCCCGGACGTGCGCTTCTCAACGACAACCTCAGCGCTTCCGTCCATGATAAGATGCTGCAGCTGCTTTGGTACCAGAAGCGCCATCGGCTGATGTGGGGATGACATGGCCCTATTCACCTTTCTCGCTCTTCCCTCGCCCCCTCGCGAAAGAGATGGGCGCATCAATGAAGGAGAAAATGAATACATACACACCAGCACGCAAAACCAAACAAAAAAAAAAGACCAAGCAAGTGCAAAACTGTGGGAGGGGCACGACGGAGGCCGGGAGTGGCAGAGAAAGGAACCCACGTACGCCAGCTGCAGAACGCCCCCCCCCCCCCCNCCCCCCCAGACCTGGGTGCAATGGGGTCAAAAGAGAGAGGGTGCGCGAGAAGAGAACTTCTATCATATTCGGCGGCGAAGTAAAGACGAAAAACATCACGGTGAAAAAAAAAGTACAGCATCATGTTCTCTTTCATCTCCCACATGCTGATGCGCTCTTCCCTACTACCAGCAAAACAAAAACTTTTCTTTACCTCTCGCTGGCCCGAAACAATAATGCAGCGAGATGACTCCCTCCTTCTAAACTCGCCTCACGCTTTTCCACTCTTCCGTGTCTCGCGTGCTTACATTCTATTGAGACCACACAGAGGACATTCATACACACACGCACACACATTTGCGGGTAGAAGAGGAGCTAGGGAGACGGCGTGACACACGTATCAACACTCTCTGGATTTAGATGGAGAAAACGACAGGGGGCGCGCGGCAGAGACCTCATATTCTACGCAGCTGCGGTGAACACACAAACATTCATCAAGAGATGAGAGAAAGAGAGAACTGTACCGACGCGAAAAAAAAAAGTATCTAGTGATCTAATACTGTAGGTGCTTCTAGAAGAACAAGGCTAGCCGGTAGTTGTGGGGAGGGTGAAGTGATGTGGGCAGCAATAACAGCAACATACCGCCCTCTCGTTTTTCGTGCTCGTGCAGTTTGGACTGTCGCCATTCTATTTGTTGACACCGGTTACCTCTTTTTTTTTTTCACCGCTGCAGCTGCCGCCCCTCTGTTTCTTAGCGACGCCGGGAAATGGAGTCTGGCAAGAGCAGAGCCGGCTGCCTCTGTTGCCCGCGGCCCGCTCGACGCAATTCCGGCACACCACCAGCAGCCAACAACATCTCCTCGAACTTCGATGGGCTGGGGAAGTCAGCGCTGTAGAAAACAGCCATCGGATCGTCCGCGGAAGCCACCGGGATGGGGGGTTTCGCAGCGGGGCCACGGCGAATGCGTGTTGTGGCCGGGGCCTGTGGAGGCGCCACCGCCTCAACGTCAACGAATGGATCGTGGCGGGTGGATGTGAACGTACGAGGAGCAGGTGGCGCGGGTGGAGATGGCGGAACAGCTGCAGCAGCTGCCTTGCGGCCGCGCCGCGCGGTCTTGGGGGCAACGGCGCGTTGTGGCGGCTTGTGCGACACGTCTGCTGCCTGCGCAAAGACGGCATCATCGTCCGTATCTGCCGAGAGATGCGAGATGGAGCGCGTCGGGACACGTCGCTTTGTTGTCGGACGGCGCAGCAACACCGGCTGGTCTTCTTCCAGAAGAAGCGAGTCCTCCCCCAAATCCGGCGCCTCGCTCACACTGTCGTTGCGCTTCTTCGACGGAGCACGACGCACCGAGGTGGTGCGGGCCGCTGGTGTTTGCCTTCGCTGCTGCTGCTGCTGCTGCTTCTGAGGCGGCTGCGTCGGTTTCACCACGTTGTCTGTGTGCTTCAGCGACGGGGCCTTGCGACACCGCGGCGCCGTCACCACCACGTGCCGCTCCGCAGCCTCCGCCGCATCATCATCATCATCATCCAGCGGTAGCTCCTCGGACTCGGCGCAGTCCCAGTCAATAACCACAACGCTACGCTTCCCATGGCGACGTTTCGCCTGTTGCTCGATTACGCGAGCAATGATGCGCTCTAGTTTGGCTTTCTTCCGTCTCGCTGCATCTCCATCATGCCCATCGCCGTCGTTGCCCTCGTTGGTGTCACCATCATCGTCATCGTCGTCTATGTGAAGCCCCTGCACCAGCGGCACGGATCGGCCCCCTTTCTTTGACGAGGAGTCTCGCAGTCGTTTTTTGGAGCCCGCGGCATCCCCCTCATTCGCACGTGTGACTAATGGCATGGATCGATTAGTGGACTTTGTGGACTTTTGCCGCAGAGCTTCCTCTATCGCCTCAATCTCCTCATCGCTCTGCTGCTGATGCTGCACGAGGTCCATCTCTTTCTTTGTCGCGTGGTTGCGCGACCGCGAGACGCTAACACCATCGTGCCGCTCCGAGCTTGAGCACACAGGAGAAACGTGTCGTGTATTTGCGGTTGAGAGAAGGTATTCCTTAGCTTGCTGCAGCGCATTGATCTTCACAGTGGCCTGCGCGGCCTTGTTCTCGGCCTCCGCCTTCTCTTTCTCCTGCTGCTCTAACTTTTCCTCTAAGCGGCGCTGCTCTTCCTTGTCCTCCAGCTCCTTCCTTATCTTGAGGACGTAATCCTCTACAATACTGTCATCGTAGAAGCCGTGGTGCAACTGCGCCTGTTGCCTGCGCACCGCGCGACGCTGTCGACTGTTGGATCGCGCTCGTTTTGGCGTCGGTGACTTCGGGGCGGCGACGGTCGAGCCGCCATATGCATGCGTTGCAGCGGCATTGAGGCAGCGCTGTTCGCCCGACGTTGGCTTAGGCACAGTCCGCTTGCTGGGGCTCTCTGCCAGCTGGGCATTCGGCGTCGCAGCGACGTCCCACACGGTGTAGCACGGCCGCTCCTCCCGCACCGTCGCCTCTGTCTCATCGGCGAAGGTGATGCTGCGGCGCCGGTTCGGGTACTTCGGCAACGGCGACAACAACAGCGGGGACTCGTCGCCGAAGATCCCCTTAGAGCTCATACGCGAGTATGACCGCTGGTTTGTTGAAAGCGACGTCATGGGCAGGCGCCGTGGCCTCGGCGAGGTTGGATAGCTCGCCACCAGCGTCGTCTCATCGTATGTCTGTGCCATCCTTCGCCCCTCTTCGGACACTCGCTCGCCCAACACGTCAGTCGTCTCTCTTCCCAGTGGTGTATCACGCGGCTACACACCTCCGCCCAGGCCTCTTACCGATAAGAAACAGATGAATGGAAAAAAAGAAGCACTGAACACAAAGCCAGACCAATAGATATGGACGCAGTACGCAGATGCACACACACACACACACACACACACACACANATATATATATATATATATATATATACCGATGTGCGTTATCAGCGCACAGTAAAATTCCCGTCACAAAAATTCGCTTCTAGGGAATAATTAAATGCCACGGCAACGGCTGTTGGGTTTGCTCCCACAGTACCGCTTGCTGAGGGCATTGTTCCTGAAACCGGCCTTCATGTGGTTATTACAAAAAATGCGAATCACAACCACCAAACCGTTTCCATTGAATAGTAAAAAAAAAAAAACTCCGTTTTCCTTTTGAATACTGGCTTTCCCCTTTCACCTTGATGCTCCATACTTTTCTAAGCATGGAGCATGGCTGAATTTCCCCACTCCCTCCCAGATTCCTTTTTCAGCTTCGTTTTGTCACCACCCCTAAACCACACCATTATCCAATACTTTTCATTCAATTTGTGTATCCTTTTCACCCAAATAAAATCTCACACGCTTCATCTTTGGCATCAAGCCACAATGTCAGCGGGGAGTTCACTGAGCGTTGCGTACGACTTCTGCGTGCCCCTACGCTGCACACTGATCGAGGAGCACACATTCGCCCGCCTGCACGCCTCAGCAAGCGACTTGCCCTTCGACATGAAGTAGACCATCGAGCCGACAAAGCAGTCGCCAGCGCCCGTCGTGTCCACCGCCTTCACGCGGATGCCGGACACGTGCACCGGCTCCGAGTTCTTCTCGCAAAGGACGTAACCCTGCGCCCCGAGCGTGATAACAACATCCCGCACACCGAGCGCCTGCAGAGCCTTGGCAGCAGCCACAACGGAGGCGGTGTCCTTCGGCTTCACGCCAGTGATCATCTCCGCCTCCACCTCGTTGGGGCAGAAGAGCGAAACATAATGCAGGAACGGCTTGATCTTCTCCACGTCCGCGGGCGACGGGGCCGGGGCCGCGTTGAATACTGTGTAGATGCCGCGGCCATGTGCCTCCCGCAGCACATCAAGCGTCGTCTCGAGCGGAATCTCGTTTTGGCAGATGAGGAAGCGGCAGCTCTTGGGCAAGAAGCGGGCGTAGTTGTCTGAATTCTTGCGGAGATAGTCAACCGTCAGCGCGTGTGTCGCATTGGGGCAGATCACGATTTCGTTGTTGGAAGTCTTGGCGTCGACGAAAATCATCGCCAGGCCGGTTGCACTGCCCTGCTTGCGGTATACACAGGAGGTGTTAACACCATTGCGCTGAAACGTTTTGATGAAGTCGGCACCGTCGCCGTCAGAGCCGACAACGCTCACCATCGCCACGCGGGCACCGAGTCTGCCAGCGGCCACTGCCTGGTTGGCGCCTTTACCACCAAAGCCCTTCTCGAAGCTCTTCGAGCCGAGTGTCTCGCCGATCTTCGGGATGCGGTCTACATACGCAATGTAGTCAAGGAAGCAGGATCCCACCACCACGATCGCGGGGTCACTGCACGCAGAATGGCTCTCCAGCACCTGGACGCGGTTCATCTTGCTTGATTGTTTGTTTGTGTTTGGTGGAATCGGTGTCCCTTGGATAAAAGGATCTCGCTAGTTCTAACCGAGCAAGTAAGAAACGAGAGCAAAAACAAGGCGATTCAGAGCGAGAGAGAGCCTGCAATCACTGAAGCAGTGCAGCAACACAGCGGTGGCACAAGCGAAAAAAGCACGACGAAGCAACCTTGAGATGAACAAAGAGCGGCAGGGCCCCACTCCGTACTCAGAAAAGCCGTAGACGCCGCAGAAAGAGAAGAAATAACACTGCTAAGGTAAAGAATGGGTGCGAGAAGAAGAAGACAAACACGGCGACCGCAAGTGTAGAAATCACGACACCCCATGCCGCGATGATCAGCATCCCCACGAGTGGATGCCTCGCATGCGTCCGAAGCCCAAAGTACGCCTGCCCAAAGTCATTGGTGAAGTCACGCGGGTTCACTTTGAAAGACGATTGACCGGAGTGGAACCGACCATCTTTGCTCGACTCTGCCTTTGCACTGTAGTAATCCCCAGCTTTTTGGTTTGTGCTGGCGTTGGGCTGCTCGCTAGATTCGGTGCGCACAGTGAACATCGTGCCCCTTGGGTCGGTAAAGGTGCGCTCCTCCATACGATTGCCGTGCGCATCGGTGAAGACACGCGTCGACTCGCTGCGGAAGAATGGGCGGAACGCCTGTTCCTTCCCACCGAACTCTCTCGACACTCGGCTGCCACTGCCGCCAGCGCTGCTGCGCCGCATCTCCTCCTCAAGGTCGCGGAATATCTGGTCGACACGCATGCCACCGAAAATGTCACGGAAGAGGCGGTCAGCTTCCTCCTTCGACATGTGCTGGTAGCCTGGCGGGCTCTGGTGGGTGTACGCCGCAGAGGAGGTGCCACCGCCGCCCATGAAGGGTGGTGCGCCCCGCTGCATGTCGTACTCCTTTCGCCGCGTCTTGTTGCCAACCACGTGGTACGCCTCGGAGATGCGCTTAAACGTGTCCTCCGCCCCGGGATCGCTGTTGCGGTCGGGGTGGTACTGCAGCGCGAGTTTTTTGTAGGCCGCCTTGATCTCGTCCACGGAGGCGTCCGGCCTCACGCCGAGGAGGTTGTAGTAATCCGTGTCGCCCGAGCTGCTCTGCCACCGCCGTGCGTGCATCATGGCGCCCGCAGTGGCAGAAGATCCCCACATGGTGCCACGTGCATTAACTGAGGGAAGGGCGCACACGCCAGGTCTTCTGTACAGCACCCGCACGTACGGCTGTGTGGGCGTGCAGGCGCTGGCTGCTGTGTGGAGCGCTCGAAGGCTGGGCACACCACTTGCGGCCGTGAAAAGTCGTCGCATCTCTAGCGTCGCTCTCTATCGCAAGAACCGCCCCAAGACGGAGGATAAGGGAGAAATAAAAAAGGCAAACGGAGTGAGGAGGCCCCTTACTTATTTTGAAGACGAGATAATACCTCTCTCCCTCCCTCCCTCCCTCCGTTCTTCAAAAAGCAACAACTTATTCATGTCGCATTCCCCCACACCCTTTTTTTGTTTCATCTTTCATGGGGGACTCTGTCAATGGTCACTGTGTTCTATGCGAAACTGCGTGCCCTACAACTTCAGCTCAACCTCCTTTAGCCGTTCCATGCACAATGTGCGAACCTCCTCGGCACGCTGCTCTTGCCGCTTCAACAGGTCCTCTTTTCTGGCGGTGGTACGGATGGAGACTTCCTGCACCATGCTTCCCAGCGCCTTTTGCTCCTTGTCGATGGAGTCAATAGAGCTCATGGCTTTCTGCTGCCAGACCTCAATGCCTGCAGCTAACTCCTCCGCCATGTGCAGGAGGCGTTCTATGTGTCGCTCCAACTCTGGCTTCTCGCCTATCAGAAGGGACTGCACGTCCCGCTGAATGACATCCACATCACCACGCACGCGCTGGATGAGCGCAGTGTTCAGTGCATCAATTTTCTCTCTCCTCTTCTGACGGTTTTCTTCCCAGAGGACGTCGAGCTGCTCCTCCAGCGGCTCCATGCACTATGACTACAAAAGGGGAAAGAAAGACCAAAGACAGCACCACAAAAAAAAGGAATAAAACAACAACGGCAATAAAGCACGCAGACACAAAACGCACAAGAACACTATATATATATATATATGAGATTCGTTTCACACCTTTCGCGCGAATGCCGCAAGCACCAACGAAGATCTCCATCTCATCACACAGGGCCAGACACAATGAAGAAAGCGGCTGGGAGAGGAGGGTGACCCGAAACAGCAAGGAGAATGATGCAATCGTTGAGAACACGCCAATAAAAAGAAAAGAGCAACAGTAACGATCAGCACCCTACTCCCCAACTTTTTATTCCGCCAATCCGGCCACAAAGCGTGGGGTAAAGCAGATTATCGTAAGGCACATTCCCGTGAGAAGCGGGATGAAGAGGCAGTGTCCCACGCCCTGGTGACTCGCGCAAATTCCGTAGGGGATGCGGTCATCACCTGCGAGACAAACAGCTGCTCCCGCTCGTGGGCGGTGCTTTGCTCCCACGACTCGGACTGACACCAGCCCGCATTTAGGGTGCCACTAGTGACTTGCAACGGCTCGCCCTGGCGCTCCCTGCTATGTACGTCCACCTTCTTGTGCAGGTTAGCGACAAACCGGTCAAGGACAGTCGGAGCGGTGGCGGTCTCCCCCGTTGCCTTGACGACCTCATCGACCGCCAGCAGGCGCCGCAGCAACCACCCCGAGTAGATAGAGCAGAAACTCGCGATGGAGTTGGCATCCTTTTGGCTGAAGTACGACAAGGGCGAAACGGAGTCACTACCACCGTCACCGCCACCATCGCCAACCTGTACACCAAAGGCAGAACCCCTCGCCACAGATCCTAGCCCGTCCACTCGTACGGACTCGTTGTAGACGCACTCCACGAGCTCTGGAATGCTTCCATCGCACAATATGCCCAGCAGTATCAAGGGCATGAAAAGGGTCCGGGCGAGATCTGACACGATCAGAAAAAATCGACTCTTCAAGAAGTCCCACGTCAGCGTGTTGTAGAAGGTATCGCCAGAGTGGAACCATTCCTTCTGGCTGTAGTGCACCAGCTTGACGAGCTTCTCGAGGTCAGCAAGATGGTTGTACTCACGTTGAAAAGACTCCTTTTCAGAGAATACAGAAAACGCTACTAGTGCGGCAGAAAGCCACCAGAGGAGCGAGATGCCACCAATGGATCCCGCAACAAGCAGTGCTGAATTCAGAAACGCCAGGGACACAACTATGAGGACAATGGCAGAGGCGGTCCGACGAACAAAACGACCACCACTCGAGTACGGTTGTAAACGCCGCACCATTTCCACCGCCGTTTGGCGCCCCAACAACATACGCGCGCTGAGAATGTGCGGCACCTCGTTGTACAGCCTGAACGTCCAGAGCGCACGGCTGTTCCAGTCCCGAGACATGTAATTCCCCCAGTCCGAACGCATCATGGCGGCGTTCTTGACAAGCACCCGCATGACGGAGAGCGTCACGACAAAGGGGTACAGCAGCGCATAGACGCAAAAATATTTTACGACTTGCAACCGAACCAGCTGAACCTGGTTTCGACCCACTCGGAGAGTATTGAACTCATCGAACATGCCACAAATCAGTATTTTGAGAAGACGTTCGTCGGAGTACTTCAGTGTGCCTCGCTCCAGAATGCCGTGCTGATAGAGCGTGATGATGTGGTTGTCGTATACCATGAGCGCCTGCACGGCTCGAAGACTGTCGAACGCGTGATGCTCCACAATACCGAATGAGCGGTCTTGCTGTATGTGCTCACAGACCGTATCAAGAAAGCCACCCCAACTCATGTTGCCAACAAACGTGAGCTCGCCGGTAAGGCACACCTCCTCGTGTCCTTCCGCACGCGCACGCATGCTACGCCAAACATGCACGAGGCGATGCACGGGCGTGACGTAGCCGGTGTCCACAACCGTACGCAGCATGGTCTCCAACTCACTCTGAAGCCTGCATGTCTCCACGAACTTTACAAGCTCGTAGCAAAGAGCCGCGAAGGAAGATATCAAAAGCACAAGACCCAACATCATGTGCCCCATTCCAAAAACAGTCGGCGTATGCATGCCGCGCACCAACGTGGCATTCACGCAACTCACTTCATCACATGTCATTGCCACTGACCAGTCGAAAATCATCGTGAGGAAGAGGACTGCGGCAAACACCACCAAACTATTGAGGAAGTCCACAAACGACGCCACACAGGTGTTCCACAGCCCCTTGAAGTACCAGAAGGCGTACAGGCATCTCATAAAGAGGTGTACGTCCTCAATACGCCCGTTGCCCTGGTACCGCAGTGAGAAGGAGGGGGTGCGCACAAAAACCATTGTTCGTATCTCGCAGACCTTGGCCTCAGAAACCTTCCCAAAGCTAGTCACACGCCCACCGCCACACAAACGTTCCTTGCAGTTGCAGCAAACCCTCTTCTCAGACCACAAACAATAAGTGAAAACGACAAGAAGGAAAGCAGGGGGACCAGAATGACGACCAAACACCCTGCACACCATGTGGGCTTCCGCTGCAGCTGCTGCTGCATCTCAGCCATCCACCAACGAAATACAGTTGGCTCAGTTTGCTCTGCAGCTGCCAGTCACGGAAAATCATACAAGACACCTCCCCCACCCCCCTCAACAAACAAAAAAGAAAACAAAAACAGCGAAGAGGTCTGCTGGAGTACATATAGCATGTGGATGTAGCACCGGGCATTCAATGAGTCGTCAAACACGGGTGCTGCAAAACAACTTTGGCACATTTTCACTTTTCCCTTTATACACCCACCACTTTGTACGCCGAGAACACACCCATTCGGCTTCATCCCCCCCTTTGCAGCTGCACAGACCAAAGCAGGCAAATCCACTCACCACCGCGCCAGCATGGAGTGTGCAGCATCGCAGCACCACTGAATAAAACAAAACGAAACAAAAAAAACATAAGCGTTCAGATTTATGCCGGAACATCCACCACGTACCACCATCAAGCGCAGCAACAGCAAACTTCACAGGCTCTGTCTTAACCTTACGACCACATCGCCACCACGGAGCACAGAGATGGTGTCAACAGAACAATCAGTCTGGACTGCAAGCTCGTCACAGCCTCTTCTCCACGTGATAGCTACAGAAGCTCCTCACAAACATACACTTACACATATACGTACGCGTGATTAGACAGCATCGCCATTATTGACGCATGTGCACATCCGCATTTCCCCATCTAGCCACCAGTGTCATACTTCATCCGCAGCGTTTCCACAGAGCTGCTCTTCACAAGAATAGGAGAGATCACAGCAAAAAATAATGTTGCCATTGCACAAGATGACCACCACAATCTTTTTCATTCCAGTCTACGTGCCCCTGTCTGAAATGAGAGCTATGAGACCACCTTGGGAACCTTCATAAAGATTCTTCCGCTTGGATGTCCAAGGCGTTCTTCGCAATCTCTTTTCTGTGATCTCTTCCGGCCCGGTCTCAATACGGGCCAACACTCATCGAAGCCCCACGACCCACAAAACTGCGTAGATATATATATATATATATATATATATGAAGACACACAGAGCGGAGCTGCGCCCCAGTATGGAGCACCGCTGCGGTCACAGGAGACCTGTGTGCCACGTCTAGAGACAAGAGCAGCCCATAGGCCAGGTGCCCCTCCGCAGTGCCTGCATCTCCCCATACGTTCGTTTGCATGCAGTTTCAACGAGCCGGTATTTTAAGGGTCTACAACAAGAGGATCGATGCCACCGATCGACACCCTTTCATTGCCTCTGCAGAGACATCGGCTTCGAAACGTATCGTGTGAAACGCCTCTCTATGTGTAAGAGCAAGCACCACGCTCCACAAGAGAAATAAGAGATAAGGCGAAAGAACAAGAAAGAGAGAAAAGAAACAAAGAGTAGGAGAATAGACACCATTAGCGACAGTATGCAGTCAGTTACCGCGAGGGGCGCAGACAGAGGCCAAACACCACCTCAGAAACCCAATCAGCCTCCTTATGGGCGCGTCCAACGCAAGCTTCTGGTCTTTCTTTTAGCAGATTGCATGCATTCGATTATCGCTTAAAAGACGAAACGAATTCGGCTGTTCAATCCCAATTACAGCTTTCTCTATTGAGTGGAGAAGCCACGACTGAACCTGCTGAGTGCGTCCTGGAGTGAGGTGTGGGTCCGAATGCTGGGGGCATTTGGAGGAGCCTCCAGTCGGGCCTCCTCCGGCGGCCGTTCAGGCTCAAGCAACAGCACGTCCACCTTCAGGAGCTCCATGATGTGCTTGTAGTCAGCATTGCTGCTGCATGTGCTATTTTTGAAGCGGTAGGCATTTCGACGAAGATGGCTCTCCACTGCCAACTTACGACAGATTGTGTCTTCTATCATGTGGAGAGGAAGGAGCGCCCAAAACCAGGACTCTGTGAGGCACTCCAACGCCGCCGTAAAACCGAGGAGCACCTTTGTCTCCGCGTCCCTGTAGGCCACCGTCCGTTGTAGCTTCAGCGCACGCACCGCGACGAGGATCAGAAACGGCGTCAAGTAGTCCGTTGCGCAGTAGCTTGAGGCGTGTGGGTGCAGTGCACTAGAAGCAGGCGCAAGCCCTTTCGCGAATCCCTCCAAAATGCTCAGCGCCGCATCCTGGAACTCGTCTCCGCGAGCGAGGAAGTCCTGCCCACGCGCTGTGTTCAGCATGTCTTGTGGGATGCGGTCAGCATATGGCGGGAACGCGTTCTCCTGTCGCGAGGCCGGTGCGCGCAGCCGCTCGAGGAACGCGTCAATGATGTCCTCCGCGGATGTGTCCGGCGTGCAGCCGTAGAAAGCGAAGATACCCAGCAGCTGTTTCCACGTCGCGGTCAATGGGACTACGGCAACAGCTGCACCATCGCGTGAGCGCACGTACACCGGGTGAGCAATAAACGGCTCCACAATACCAGACAACAGGCTGACGACACGATCGCGGACGTTCACATCCGCATCCAAGCGGTCCGTGTCGGCAGTTTTGACGTAGCTGCCGAACTGATTCCCGTCCCCACAAATACCGAGCACACGCGAGAGCTCTGCGCCACCTGCAGCCTTTGCGATGGGCACCGCCTCTCTTAAATTACGACAGAGCAACTTGCAAAGCAGCTGCTGCGTGGCGTTCATCTCCAGCTTCTCCTGCGCCCACGTGTCCATAAACGACAGTTCTCCTTTGAGCCACGCGTTGAGGTTGCGCCGTCGGAGCTGCGTGAGGTATCGCGTCTCGGCGATTGCGTTACTCTCAGCCTTGTCTGCTTCAGGCAGACCGTAGAGGGCATCAAGAAGGTTCAGCACTGTCTTCGCTTGCCGTGTCGTCGAAGCCTCCATCTCCGAAACCCGCTCACTCCGCACCGCGTCAATCGCCACCACAAGCTCACGTAACTTCTCCTTCGAGAGCGACACACTGCTATCTTGGCGAGACAGGTTTACGGCAGCCAGCGAGAAGTGATCAGAATGGTTGGCGGTCCCCTCCACAAGGTGGAGGTAGCGGCACACGGTACGCAGCACTGATATGGCGCAGCTCTGCAGGTAGTGATCGCGTGACGCGTGAGCAAAAAAGGGATTTGCCACGATCACATTTGCCCCACGAACCTCCTCCACAACTTGTTTTCCCTCGGTCCCATCGCGCAGCCATGCAAACGTAGGAGCAGCGAGACATCCACCCACGAGCCAGCCGCAGCGAAAGCTCCGAGCTAATCCTGCCATTGTACTCTGTGAAACAATGCTAGCATTGACCTCGTACATTTTTGACCTCTCCTTTTCCACAACGTACACCGGAGCGTACGTCTCTGCGTGCGGCTCCTTCATCACAAGTACACCCTTCCGCTCACGGGGCGCCGCCTCGTGAATGTCGGGCAGATCGTACGGCAGCTCAAAATCCGTGGCTGCAGGAGTCTCATTGCTCACATCGTAGTGCGCCACCTGGCCTCGCACTGACACCTCGTGAGTGCGCACTGGCAACACAGACGACTGATCCGGGCGGGAGGAAACTCGAGCAAGCGATGCGGGTGGCAGGGCCTTCGTGTGCAGTGCCGGGGGCGGCGGCACCGGCGTTGCCCGCTGTGACCAACCACTCGTGTCAAGGGGGGCTGGAGTGTACACCACACCATCCAAGGACTCGCCGTAGGTTGATAGCCGCTCAATCTCCGGCAGATACCCATCCTCGTCTGCTAAATCACCATCATCCACGTTGGCAGTGTATACCCACGTCCCTGTCGTCGTGTCATACGAGTCAAAAATAATACCCTCCTTGTGGCAACGCTCACGGAGCTCGGCAGCCGTCATACCAACAACACCGTTTACAGTGACGCGTGCTCGCACGTGAAGACCGTTCCCAAGAGGAGGTGGCACGGCAGTATCTGGGTAAAATTTCACCTCACCGTTCTGGCGAAGGGCCAAAACATCAGATACATCGCATCGAACGAGGTTAACAGGCTCAAGAAAACGTACCGAGCACTTGCCATCACGGCGATAAACACTGAAGTCATGTACACCTTGCAGTTGCTGGACTGTGAACTCCTGCAACACTCTCAACGGGGGATCAAGAATGTAGTCGCTGCTGGTGCAAATAGGAGCATGAGGAGCGGCATCGGGGGTGGAAACAACCGATCCGCCCAACAGAGCTCGGGCTGGCGACGGAGGGACAGCATCACTCGTCACATCAGGCACACCCAATTTTACCTTGGGTGAGCTGATGAGCTCGCGGAGTGCCTCGGGTGAGAGGCCACTGACGGAAAAAGAAGCAGGTTGTTGTTTCAATGAGACATTCGCGTTCGGCGCCTGCGTACCCGCCCTCATCCTCTGCTGGTACTGTGACAATGACGTGGGAATGATCGTGGCTGTTGCAGCAGTCGCTGGGGGTACAGCAGCCGGCGGTCTCTTTGGTTGTTCATCAGGTGCGAAAAGCAAGACATTTCCATACGGTTTGTCGGCGAAGTCTGGCAGATTAAGGAATGGCATGGTGCTAGCTGAAGCGTTTGCGCCCGTGCCCACACTCGCAACTACAGCTGAGGTCGATGCTCCCCCTATCTGACCAAAACCGCCTGAACCGCCAAAACCACCTGAGGTTGTTCCGAACGATATGCCCCGACCAGCTTGACCAAAACCGCTGCTGCCCTGTTGCCCGAAGCCACCTCCCACCGAACCGGCAGGTTGACCAAAGCCTCCGCCAGCTGCACCTGCCTG